CCACGATCTCCGTGCCCGGCTCCGGCAGCAGGGCCGGCAGCTACAGCTCCGCCTCCTCTGACGGCACCGCTCTGGACTTCTCTGCCTCTATCTCCGGGCCGAGCTCGGCGAAGAGCGTGTCAGTCTCCGCCTGCTCCCGCCGGAGGAACGCCCGGTTAGCCTCCACATAGACCTCGTCCTGTATGGACTCCAGGATGGCCTACTGCTCGGCCATCTCGTCGGATTGGGCGGCAGCGGACTCCGCCTCCGCCTGCTCCATGTTGAAGGCCAACACTTGCTGGTTTGGCTCCTTCGCCTCCTCCGCCCCCCACCTCCATCAGAGCCATCTCTTCCTCCTCCTCCTCTTCCCTCGGTTGCTCCTCCTCCTCCTCCGAATTCGGCGAGTCCGGAGGCGGCCCGACAGCGATGCGGGTGGCGCGGGCGGCTTCCCTTGCCCGGATCTGCTGCTGGATCTCGTAGCGGCGCTCTGGCGTCAGCATGGCATAGTATGTGATCTTGCTCCGGACCATGGTGGAGTGCCGGAGCATGGACAGAGCACCGGAGTGGGAGAGGCAGGAGGTGGATGGGCTCGAACTGGCAGCGCAGAGAGGAGGGAAGGGGTTGGGTTTAGGGTTGAGGGACGTCGGCCGACTTAAATAGTCGGATTTTGTCTTGGGCGATGAGCCAGAGCGGCGCCACGCGGTGACAGAATCGGCGTTCGTCGGACCGCTGGGCGTTTCCGGCTGCGACCCCATCCTCAGCCCGACGTGGCGGGCGTGCCCGGACGCTCCCAGACGCCCCCTTATTCTCCCCATATTTGGGCTGGATATGGGGGGTGCCGGTCAGCCTGCGTGTATGAGGGTCATTTGAGAGGCCCGTTTGGGAAAAAATCATGACCGGGCAGTGACCGTGCGGCCCGCCCGGGCGTATGAGGCGGGTTTTAAGAGGTATGGTTGTAGACGTTCTTACATGTAAGGGAAATGCTACTTACGGTATTTCTCTCAACATGCATGTTGTTGAGCTATATTCAAACTTTTCTTACTTTGACTTCAAAGATGTAGATTCGTCAGGTGAAAAAAGTGTGTGAAAGATATACTTATTAGACAAACAATTGTTATTTTCTACAAATATGTTCCTATAAATATCAATGGGGATGATGTCAATATATAAATGGTATTTATTAAAAGATGGAGTAAATATTCCATCATATGAAGGGACAAGAACACTATCTAACTGACAATATCCCTGCTCCTTTTATGTAATCTTAGCATAATATAACACTTTGCTGGTAGAGAAATACTTAGTATTTTGTTGTTGCCTTATAAAAAGTTGGAGTGGATCAATTTTCGAGCTGTTGGATTTCGATCAAACGGCTGCCAAGCCTCTTCTTACTCAGCCTATCTTCCTCCTCCCTCACACGTAATGCCAGCCATACCACCGGCACAAACATGGCATCCCCCATCCGCACTGTCGCCACGACCCGCCCCAGCCGTTGCCCCCGCCCTGCAATGGTCCCGACCTTCCCTCTAAGTTTAAACCTCATCATGATCTCCGGTGTCCAGCGACCTGCACACCTCCTACTTGCACAGTAAAGTCTCGGACAACTAGGGAAATATCTGGTGCACCGGAGCTTGTGGTGCTACCGGTGCACCAAACTCATACTGTGCTTTTAAAATGTACAAAAATTTTGATAAAAATTAGCACACTCACACAACATCAATGTAGGTTGTCACAAAATATAAAGTCGAAATTTAAAATATAACTCAAAAAACAAAAATGACAAATTCAACATTGAATAGTATATAACATAACTTGGGCTTTAGATTTGGCCCATTATCACACTGATGTCAAATTTGTCATTTTTATCTCAATTTTTTTTCAAATTTCTATACGAAATTTTGTGACATCATACATTGATATTACATTAACATGCTAGACTTTTTTCAGATCTAAAAAAATATTCTATGTCATCCGTGCACCGGATACATCCCCCACTTCAACTCGCTATGCGGTCTCCTGGTCGATTAATTTTTTTTCAATTTTGTTGTGCGGGTTATAAGTTTCCCTGTAACTCTCGTTTCATTTGCCATATTCAAAATCGGCAACTGTAGTTTGAAAATGTGTGTGTGTGTGTGTGTGTGTGTGTGTGTGTGTGTGTGTGTGTGTGTGTGTGTGTGTGTTGTGCGGGAGGGGGGTTCTTCCTCTTACATATGCGTCACTATTTGCTTGGACAACATGATTGCAAGAGGGTGTGTTTCACAGGAAACATTGTTCTCGGTACTGCGGGTTTGTGTTGTCACAGCCTGATTCTGATCCGGTACTAACTTTTGTCCGGTGTTTCTGATCAAGAAAGATTCTGTTGATCTGAAATTAGTAACGTGCGCTGGGTCGGTCTGGCTATCTTTGGAAGATTCTTTATTTTATTATTAGTTGCAAAAAATTAGCATCGCACGTACTACTGTTCCAGATCTCCATACCTAATACTATCATCATGTCCGCCCAATCTGCTTGGCTTGCATGGAGATTTGCACGTTAGGTTATCCATCAGTGGCTTTAGCTAATGCAGTGACGTTTATTAGTACGTGATACTGGGACAAGGTGCGGCCACATCGGCGTATCATGGGTTTGCTTCTATCCCAGCTCGATCGGCTATATAAATCTGCTGATTTATCTAAAAAAGTAATATAAATCTGCTGATCTGCGGGGTTAAGCGTATCTTTTTGGTGCGACCAGGCCGTATAAATAATCGCTATCCCATCATGAAATGTTTTTGTATTCCCTTTTGGTGGCCTTTGGAGGGAATGGGAAATTAGTCAGCGCCTTTTTGTTTTGATTTTGAGTGAGCATCTAGAAAGTGTATTGTTGTTGGCGGAAAACAACGGTTGTTTGTCTTCTCTGAACAAGGGTTTGAATCTATTACAAGAATCCGTCGTAAGTGCAAAGCTAGCAGCCTCAACATAATAAAAATTTCATCTAAGGTCTCTTGATCACCGGACGACCGCTTCCCTACCGGAGGCGGGGGAGTGGATGGCGACAACTTTTCATGTCTTGCTCCTCTAGCTCCTTCTCCGACAAGCGACAACCAGCCAACTTTGGCGTCGTTGGGGAGCCTGTGAGCTTAGGTCTCCCCAGATCTATCTAGTTGGATTGGAGTGGTTGTCCAATCTTCTTCTCCGGACGGCGAACTGTTTCTCAGATCATTGCCATCGGCGTCTTCTGGCTTCGACCGTTGACCTCTTGACCGCTATGTTGACAACACTTACCTTACTCCGATCATGTTTCAGAGGTCCAGAGATGGCGTCGAACTTCACTCACGACACACCGCTGGCGAGTGAGGGAGGAAGACATGGTCGATTCCCCCAAGGACCTTTGTGTAACTTTAATTTCTATAATGACGTTCTTGTAAGGGTTGATCGACCATAATAACCTTTGACCTTTAAAAAATCTCATGATGGCCGTAACTTGGCTAGATTTGCCATATTAGGATAAAAAAACACCGAGAAAAAACAGTAAGGGCTGGTATTACTCAAAGGTTAAACATACATAGGTTGTTTTCCATGTCCCTGCACATTTTCCGTCAAGCTCAGCCACTTGACAAATAATAGGGTCTGATGACCTTGTCTGCTTGTGATTGTACAAAAGGAATAATAACATAAGGGAGCTACTCACGGTCTGATTGCATTTACAGTGGCTAGCTTACCTCTGTCCTTTCTCCCTGAAAAAAGTGGGCTATCCGACGCCCAGAATAGTAGTGCACGTGCACTCTGCTACTCTATCTATGACACGACCAGTGGCCGTTCTCACTTGGTGGCATCCATGCCCGCCTTTTGGATGCGCGTGGATGCATCTGGGCACTGGCCTAGCCGCACGGAACACCGGTGAGATCTGGACCTCCTACATCGGTGGCCCACGCGAGCGTTGGGTCGGGAAACTTGCGCTGCCTAGCCACCTGTTGACCTCGGAGAGAGCACCGCCCTCGCCGCCGGCGGTCGCCCCAAGGCCCAAAGGCTCGTCGTCGTCCTTCTTCGCCGCCGCCATCGTCGGGAGAGGAGTACAGAGAGAGATAGAGAGCACGGGGGAAAGGAGGAGCGAGAGTGAGCTCTGCCGACAGAGAGAGAAAGGGGCGCAAGCGGGTGCGGTCCGACCGCACCGGTCAGAGTAACGGTCGTTAACGGCCTGGCCGTCACCCGCGGTGCTGATGTGGCCTAACAGGTGAGCCCGGACTGTCAGAAAACGGTTTAAAACACTAGCAACGGGCAATTTGGGTTTTTTGAGACAGCCGACACGAAAAATGGTACGTATCAGTTACAAATAAAAATGCGGTGGTTTTTTAAAACCCTAGCATGAAAAGTGGCAGTTTTATGTTATTCGCTCGTGGCGAAATCAGTGGCGGAGCCAGGAAATGTCGATCAGGGGGCCGAGTGCCTTCAAAGTAGGTTAAGGGGGGCCAAAGCATAGAAAAATAGACTTTTAGCATCAAAATATTGCTAATTATGCACTGCTCATCAATGAATTAGCAGCAAATTTCTAATGTCAGGGAGGGCCAGGGCCCCTGCTGGTCCCCCTATCTCCGCCACTGGGCGAAATAGTCTTTTGATCCATAGCAAAGCGTTGTGTCACTTGTGTGGTGAATTCGTCAATCCCTCGTAACTCCTCAGTAGAGTAGGGTATAACTGATGGAGCTATCTATAAAATAAATGTGATATGCCCTACATGCATACATGGAGAAAGACAGAAAAGCGTGAGAGGATGGATTGGGACGGGACGCACCCAGATCTCAGCTGATTTGGATGGGTTGGAGCTCTTTCTACTACGTCTCCATGCAATCATTTGCTCGCTGCCGGGATCTCCGTCTTCTTCCCACGAGGTACGTAATTTCGTTGTGTGTGGCTAGCTATATCTTCTCTGCGCTGCGTCGTCTTCTTGCACGCTCCTCCCCTGCCTGCCTTTTGAGCTCTGCATTTTCATGTGATTTCTTTGGTGCGCGCAGCTCGATCAGGTGCTAGCTAGCTAGAAGCAGTATGTATCAGCTGGAGAACATGGACGACTCCAGCTTGTTCATGCAGTGGGCCGTGGACACGCTGCAGCACGACCACCCGCCGCCGGTCGCCGCCGGCGACCATGGCTGTACCTTCCCGTCACTCCAAGAGCTCCGCCGCTCGTCATTGCAGCACGGCACGGCCCCGGCGGGAATGGCGGTACAAGATGGCCACCGTCACCAAGCCGCCGATAGCTGGAGCTCCGGCGAAAGCGCCGGCGGCGGCCATGAAAACACGTCTGCCTCGCCCACGGTCGTGGAGAACGACGTCTGGTCGTCCAACTCGGCCAAGTGCGCAACGACCTGCAGCGTCGGCAGCAGCAACAACCACCTGCCCATGAGCTGGAACTTCACCTCGGCCCTGGCGCAGCCGAGCAACGAGGCCGCCGCTCCTCCCTCTGGAGCGCACGACGGCCCCGGCATGACGGAGCAGGCCCACGTGTCGCCGCCGTCGAGGAGAGCCACCGCCAGGACCGGGCACGCGCCGTACGCGCAGGACCACATCATGGCGGAGCGGAAGCGCCGGGAGAAGATCAACCGGCGGTTCATCGAGCTCTCCACCGTCATCCCCGGCCTCAAGAAGGTCATCCCCTAAATTCCGCGCCTCTTCTTGCACATTCATATCCAACAATGCAATTTTGTCGACTGATTGGCCAACTAATTTACTCGCTCAGATGGACAAGGCGACGATCCTGTCGGACGCCGTCAAGTACGTCAGGGAGCAGCAGGAGAAGCTCAAGGCGCTCGAGGACCGCAGCCGCAGGAGCGTCGGCGTCGAGTCGGTGGTGCTCGTCAAGAAGAAGCCGTGCACCGCCGTGCCGGAAGACGACTGCCCCTCACCATCTGCAGGGGCGGTAGCTGGAAGCACGACGACGATGACGACGACGACCGGGAGCGGGCTGCCGGAGATCGAGGCGAGGATCTCGGAGAGCAACGTGATGGTGAGGGTCCATTGCGAGGACGGCAAGGGGGTGCTTGTCAGGTTGCTCGCCCAGGTGGAGGGGCTACACCTGAGCATCACGCACGCCAATGCCGTCCCGTTCCCGGCTTGCACTCTCATCATAACCGTCATGGCAAAGGCAAGTTCGTTTAACTTAGTTAACTCTCAACCTGCTGCCCATTCTTCTTGCAATTTATTACAAAGCATTTTTTCACGTACTATCTCCGTGTCTTACTTAATATAAGACGTTTTTTGACACTAATGAAATACGTAGTTTCTACCGAGCGTGCTGCATGTTTCACCTGTTACGAGACTGACGGACATCGCGGTTTCAGTTAAATGAAATCGAAGAAGCAAAGTGTGCTTATCTTTACATTAAACAAATAGCTGTAGTTGAAGGGTTAACACAATGCACGTGTCATGCTCCTTAACTGAAAAGCTTTATTTGGACACCAACTGATGGATGGAACGACGACATTGTTATCTTGTCAGGTGGACGACGGCTTCAGCGTCACGGCGGAGGACATTGTTGCCAAGATAGAGGCGGTGTTGGCTGCACCCACGGTCATAGCAGGGCCGGGATAACGATGCATGCTCCGGCAGAGATCAAAGTTCAAGGAGGCAAATTTTATGCAGAGATAGATAGATAAACTGCATCGGCATGCAAGTAGTTCTCGTCATGCGCGCATGATTCAACGAGTGCATCGGGCCTTAAAATAAAATTACAGCTTTCGAGACAAAACTACACTCTCGTTCTCGAAAAAAAATAAGGCTTAAGAATATATTTTTTAAACTATGTTAACTTACGTTTTTATATTGTGGGACGGAAGGAGTAAATTTTTTTTGGATGCATCGGACCGGAGCACACCTCGTGACGCAACTACTTAACGTTTCATGTAATTGATTGATCGCTTGGACCGGAGCACGAACAGATAAATAAATGATTCTTCAATCCCAATCGAGCAAATGTACGGAGGGACAACCCTGCAGGCCCTATACGTAGTGAGGTAAATAATTCCGATGCGATGGGCAGAGCCGGTGTGCCGGTGACCGACGTGAATCTTGGCGCCACATCTTGAATGCGGTGTCTTGTGTCGGATCAGAAGCATGCATACACAATGCAGCGTGTACTTGCACGGCTCAAGATAATAATCTAATTGATCGCTTGGACGATAATACTTGATCACTCGTACTTGCACAGCTCAAGATATAATAATACTGTACTACCAGTAGGGGTAGTATACACACTGCAAGTTGCGAGTTTTCGTGCAAGTTGATCGTACGTGTACGTACGTATGTATGCTTATAGTAGCAAGGACAAATACACCATTGCTTTTGGTGTGAACAGTAAAATCAAAAAAAATGTTTAAAAAATTCTGAAATTTTTTGTGACATACTTTCACAAATGTTTGTTCTGCATGCAAAATTTCATCGCGAGATCACCCGTGTGGGGGCGCCTGGCAAAGTCATCGTTACTTCTTGGGGTTTTATTGGACGGCGTACCAGTGTGAATGAAGCTGAGCTTCGTGCTTGCCTCGTCGGGCTTTATATCGGTCATCCTTCACCAGTCTTTTCTTTGAAAAAAATTGGCTGTCCTTTTGTAAGTTTTTTCCTTGCAAATGATAAACTTAACAGGTCTCCTCTCGTCGATATGAAGAAAGAGGTTTCGAGTATCTCTAGGCTGCTCTTGCACCCATAGAAAAGTATCTCTAGGCTGCTCCAGAATTTTACCATTTCCTAAATTAATCGACTTGCCAATGAGGTCTCACACCAGATTACAAAGTTTAGCTTAATCGGCAGGTCCGATGAGATTCTTCTTAATAGTTTTACAAGCAGAATCCCCGTACGTCTACTCTTCCTGCAGCTGCAGGTCGCTATAGCGAGGCACTGTCACTGAGCTGCAGACTGCACTCCTCGGCTAATGCGCCGGTCTGTGTATTATTACCCACGAACCACAAGTAGATCCAGTGAGGGCAAAAGGCACAATTTTGACCTCAGGCAGAAACTATTTTGCCTCCAGCGAGATCAGTAGATAAATGAGATCTATTGAGCTGGTACATCCGTGTTAATACTCCATGGGATGTACTTACTTAGTATACTAGTCTGTCAGATCTTCTTGCTATCTCTCTCTTTTTTTATTTTGGCGATGAGATCTTCTTGCTATCTTGGGAGAAAGGTACTGCATGTGTTTGGACGCCGCGCTGTGTATGCATGCAGGATCGTCGAGATATCCTACCGAGACGATATACTTTACGATACGATTAGTTAGCCGTACACTAGGAGTACATCTATACAGTTATATGCGTACAATCTTCCATGTTCCGTATGTACAGTACAGGGCTGGTGTGATACGCATCCTGTTGTTTGTCTCTGTCTGCACGCGAGGCAGCGCGTCTTGAGTAGATTAAGATTTTGCAAAACTGTCACTTTCTCCCAATGAAAAAGACTTTGATTTGCTTTAGTTGGAAGCTCAAGTGGGGAAAAAATAGTTATACTCTCGTGAGAAACTACCAAAAATAATTACAGTTGCCTTCAATGTCTATTTTCTTCCGATGGAAAAAGCTTTGATTTGACTTCCTTGGAAGTTGAATTCGAAAAAAAAATGGTTATACTCTTGTGGAACCAAAACATCATTTTCTTGCTTTCATTGAGAGTTGAACTCAAGACCACCCGCTTACTAAACGGGTGCTCTAACCAACTGAGCTATGAAAGCTTCTTGTGAATAATTTCTATTTGAAAAATGTGCTATCAACCTA